CTTACAAGCCTCACAAATATAGGCACCGCAGTAGAATCCCGCTGCCGCGTCTTCACAGACCTGACACAGAACAGCATCACCCTTGTAGTCAGATGGCGTAGTTGAAAGAACCGTTGACGTCTGAATCTCAGCCGCAGTCAAATTCTTCGAGTTAATGTCTGTCTGTTCGTGTTCTTTTTTAGAATGGTGGACGCTGGCAGTGGAAGAGTCGAGTTGGTCCTGGATGTATCCTTCTTCAGTAGATATGGAGATATGCTCGGGTGAAGACTTGAAAACAGAAAGGTTCGTGTCCCCATTTACTGAGTTGGAGGACAGCAAAGCTGGAGGAGATTCAGTAGATCCAAAACTGCACCTTCGTGATAGGCACTCTCTTGTAGACGTAACCGAACTATTAGAGGCAATTACAATATCCCTATGGCAGACATTTAGCTCTTCTTTCTCGCGTATAAATTCTAAGCTCCCGCGCATTTCCGCTTTAACATCTTTGACATTGTCTCTTCTGCGAGTTTCAAAACAGTCGTATCTATCATCCTTTTCTAGTTTCCTCGTGTGGTTACCACGAAAAGTGATGTAGTCTTCAATTCGAGCATGCTTTGCAGGTTTCGGCGATGCACATCCTCTTATGTTGTCAATGTCATGCATTCGACCTTTTTTACTGTTACTTATAAAATTAAGAGCAGGTTTCACTTCAATAGTTTTATCAGTCGCAGTTAAGGATTGGTTCACTTCACGCATTGTGTCTGTTATTTTTCATTTGTATTATAATCAGATGTAGATATGTCCAGGTAAAAGGCAAAATCTTAGTATATACCAATTAGTATCGCATTCTGCAATAACGATGTTTCCAACACACTTTGTGACCACTATACATTATTTCTTCAATTTCTGATCAAACTGTCTACAACGCAAAACAGGAGAAAATATGGATGATTTGTCTACGCTTTGGTCTGATTTTTCCTATAGCTTCTGATCCCATTTTCTGCAAAAGAAAAGCAGAAGAAATTATAAATGATTGAGGCGCTTCTAACGATTCACTGAAATATCTAAACTTAAAATGCTTCACGGGGAGGCCCCAATAGTGGAATTTAGCTGTGATTATGAATAACTGTGCACTTTAATAACCAGTTTCTTCTTAGATCCTCGGCGTTGAGCTAGAAAATTAATATGAAGAACTATCGCCTTTGTGTCCGTAAACAGAAAATGAACAGTGGAAAACTAGGTAAAACACGGTTGGATATAATCGTACATCCAACTTTATAGACTGGTCATGTATACAACGCTGGCAAGCCACTAGACTAATCCAACGAGATTGAGATAACTGTAACGTAATCCATAGTTAATGATAATTCTCACATAAATCAGACTTTTCTGCTGATACAAGTATCTCGCATCTTATATCCAAACGAAATATTTTATTATCATCATCAATAACTAAGTATGTTCACGGGCTTTCCAATTTAAAAAATTTTAAGATTATTTATGGCCTGGAGAGAATGAGGCGACTGGGTGTAACCAGAGAGGGTCTGGCCGGCTCACTACACTCAGAGGAAAGGCAAGACGGACTTTTAAGCAGATTGTGACCGGTAACATGAGGATTGGAACTCTGCGCTGGCTGCTGAAGATGAGGACGGAGCATGCATGGGAATGCCCGAGTGCTGTGATGTCAATTCTTGACTCAATTCAATTTTTTTTAAAGCAACACAAATGAACAGTTTACCCTAGCCACGGTCCGTATTGTAATATTTTTTATTTCAAACAAGTTCTGAATGATGATGTAAGCCACCATGTAATGAGTTTAATGTGAAAATTTGTATACTCTCTACCACGAAATAGTAAAAAACGTTGTTTACAGTCAGTTAAAAGAATAATACTTCATTATATGTCTGACACTGCCTAGACGCTGGCGTGCGGATCGGAAGGTCGTGGGTTCGCTCCCAGGCGTAGCAGATTTTTTTTTTTTTCAAAATGATCTTAACTTAGGTCGACGCAGCCTTGAGTGGGTACCGGGTGCAGTCCTGGGAAGTAAAGGCGACCGAGGTGATGCTGACCACATCAACCATCTTGTGTCGATTGGTCTAAAATTTCAGGTCTAGCCCTATATGCCCTGTACGCTTAAATGTGTAGGAAAGGGACCTTTACTTTTTTTTATATAAAATACGCCTGACATTACGTACGTCGCCTGCACACACACAAATAACTTATCACATACATTCAGTAGTAAGTCAGAAAGAGAGAAGGCAAGAAATACAGAAAACCAGAAAATAAAAAAGAAAGAAAAAAGGAAAGAAAGAAAGAAATAAGGCTGTAGGAAAAATTAAATAAAAAAGATAGATGAATTGAACTTAATTAAATACAGACAGGCAGCCCGATAGACAGACATCCGGACAGGCAGATAGAAGGACAGAAAGCAATCATAAAAACAAAAGGTAATACAGAAAGACATTAAAAAAGAAGACTAAAAGAAAAGAAAAGAAATTCAAGATGTCAGTACTTCTCCTCTTCTTTGTCCAAGTTATTATGAGAATCTTTCTATAGCATTTCGGCTAATGTCCGAACAAAGAAATAACAACAACACACAGTGACGAAATACATATCCACTAAAGAACACATATGTTGTTGGAGTGCTTCAGGGTGTTATGATTTATTGATTAAACATAAGACATACAAACATACATAATATGTGGATTGATACACATATCCAGTCACACACGGTGTGTTAAGTGGTACTGAAGGCATTAAGGTAAACTGTGCTACTGGTGCCATAAAAGGCCACTAAGAGCTTTATTTGACTTGAACTTACTATCCCTGGGGGGGGGGGGGGGGGGGGGGGGGGGGGGGGGTCCATGAAAGCCAACAAAATATGACACTCGCGCAAAAATAGTCCGTTATGCGCAAAAATAGTCCTTTACGTCTCTGAATCAATCTTGTCTCATAAAACTCATCATCATCATGTAGCAGGTCCTTTGCAGAACGTCGCTCTCATCACAATCTGCCTGAAAGAAACTCGGTCTCTCGCCAGTTCTCCCGCCTCATGTACTTTCACACTCAAGGAGTCACTTATATCCTGTGCCCATCTTCGTATTGGTCGGCCCCTGCCCCTCCTTCCTGGTACCATGCCTTCTGCTATAATTTTTTCCAATCCGTCATGGCGCTTGATATGACCAAAATATTTCAGCTCTTTCTTAAGGACTGAGAGATAGTCCACGACTCACATCCGTATGTAGCCACAGGGAAGATGCATGCTCTCAAAATTCTAATTTTGATCTCCTTGCTGGTGCTTAATCATAGACTTTTAAGGCTGTTCAATCTCTGCATAGCTATGGCCATCCTCCTTTTAATTTCTATTGAACAGTCTCCATTTTTGTTTATTATAGAGCCTAGATATTCAAAGTTTGTGACATTTTCAATTTCTTCATCATTTATTGTTATTTTTTGGCTGACAGCCAGTTTTAAAAGTTGACAGTATTTTCGTTTTCTTTAAATTCAAGAGCAGATTTTGATCTTCACTGTGCTTTTAGACAGCCAATATTAAATTATCTATTCCCTTTACACTGTTCGAAAGGAGGACTGTGTCACTCATAAAACTAGCACTAAATAATTCACAGGATTTTATGAAATCTTATGATAAGAAATAGCATAGAGGAAATGAACTGGTAATTCATCAGCTTCAATAGTGGCCTAGTATAAGTAAAGGATTACATTTTACATCACTATGACAATAGCTCTATTCACAGCAATCATCATCATCTTGTAGCAGGTCCTTTGCAGAACCTCGCTCTCATCACGGTCTGCCTGAAAGAAACTCAGCCTCTCGCCAACTCAACCGCCTCATGTACTTTCATATTCAAGGAGTCACTCATATCCTGTGCCCATCTTTGTGTTGGTCGGCCCTTGCGCCTCCTTCCTGGTACCATGGCTTCTGCTATAATTTTTTCCAATCCGTCGTGGCGCTTGATATGACCAAAATATTTCAGCTTCGGAGACAGGATGCTGTTTATTAGCCAATCTTCCTTGATTTTCAGATCTTTTAAAATGTCAGTACTTCTCCTCTTCTTTGTACAAGATATTATGAGAATCTTTCTATAGCGTTTGATCTCAAAATCCCCTATGCTCTTTCTTAAGGACTGGAGATGGTTCACGATTCACATCGGTGTGCAGCCACAGGGACGATGCATGCTCTCAAAATTCTAATTTTGATCTCCTTGCTGGTGCTTAACCAAAGACTTTAAAGGCTGTTTAATCTTTGCATTGCTATGGCCATCCTTCTTTTAATTTATGTGAGTCTCCATTGCTATTTATTATAGAGCCTAGATATTCAAAGTTAGAGACGTTTTCAATTTCTTTATCATTTATTGTTATTTTTGGGTGGCAGCCAGTTTTATCTGTGAACATTATTTTCATTTTCTTTAAATTCAAGAACAGATTTTGATCTTCACTGTGCTTTTGGACAGACAGATATTAAATTTTCTGTTTACAATAAACTAGAAATAAAATTTTACACTTTAGTGGCATGTTTTACGTTGGTGTATTAAATATTTGGCATCATTTGAAACATACCTTCTTATTTTCATTATTAATTTTTGTTTAAATTGTGGATTCATCTTTTTTATTAACATTACCTACTGATCAAATTCAGAAAGCATAATTATCTGTAACAATGAAGAAACAGAAGAATATGTGTAGCTCAGAAATATAGTAACATTAGATTGAGATTGTGAAGAGGATGTAACATCAAGAATAAACAATGAAAACCAAGCATTTGCCAAAATCATCAATAGATAGAAGTCAACAGGACCCTGAAGACAAAATTCAGAATATACAACAGCAACATCATGGGAATATTACAACAGAACAGTGAATGTTTGATAATACCAGCAGGAAATGGACATAAACTAGAGGCTTTTAAGAAAAATCAGGTAACTGGGTAATCACAGTTCCATATTCACATTAAATGGGTCACCCCATGGTTGCTCCATTCCTGTAACTATGCAAACCAAAGAGACTGTAAATCACTGTCCCTTGTAAATAAAAATTGATACAGACAGCAGTCTCAGCAAAGTCAACAGCATACACATGCATTAAATGAGTAAGGCAGCTGTCAGAAGTGCAAAAGAAACAGTAGAGCACTAAAAATGCAGTTTATCATTGATGGAAGCAGCCATTAAACTGATCAATAGTGGTACAAACAATTAATTGCAAAAGGCACTACCAGTTCTTTGGCAACAGGCTTTTCAACATTTTCTTAATCTGCCATTTACAATACAAACCATGTTAGGCATTGCTGAAAAGCATGTCAAAATAAAATCCGCAGCTCATATTATCATGCCAAGCACAACTCAGTAGCTGGGTGATGTAACTTTATTCTTTCATTGTACATATGGAGGCAAATGTAATGGCTAACTATTGTCAAAACAAAAAACTTGCCACAACTAAAAACAATATTCCTATCTTCCATATGGACTGAATATTTTGGCCAAACAAGATCATAAATGATAAACTGTGGAGGAATATAAAATGCTTTTGCACTGGCATAACTGTTATCTATGGAGTTAACTGGAGATGGCTTGGAACTTTGGTAAGAACAGGGGGTGGGGGGTGGGGGGGGGGGGGGGAGATGTCAATGCCTGGAGAAAGATAGCAAAAAGAAAAATGAGGAGTATAAACTGACACTGGATACTTTGGGAAGAAAGACTGTAGACTGTCAGCAAAGGAGACAAACTCAATCAATGCTGTAT